CACCCTTACCGCCGCGGTATTGCCTAGGAGATCGGAGTTAGGAATCGGTCGGTGCTAGGAAACGGATCAGGAGCAAAAAGCCCGAATTGTTCTCTCGCCGCGCGTTTTATACTAGATTATTGCTCCCGCTCGTATTGTTCCGGAATCACTCGGTGACTCTCGGCGGGGAACAATACGAGCGAGAGCTGCGGCGCTCGGCGTCGTTCGGCGACGTTCGGGTTTCGCGGACTTGCGAGTTCACGCGGCCTGAAATTATGCTTTGCTTTTAAAATAGTTCGAGCGCACCGCGCTCTCATCGCGTACGGTGACCGGGGGTCACCGTAGCGGCATCCGGCGAGGTAGTGTTGCCGGGGACGATGCAATTATTGGGGGTGCATCGTTACAGTTTTATCAAGATTTATACGAAACTCAATAACAATATTGTATGCAATATCTTCATGTTAATGGTCGATATTCATAGTCGATTAATTTTTTTATATTTCAGTCTTAAGATGTCATAAACCAATAAAGGGAACCGTTTCTTAAGACATTATTTAAGACGACCTTAAAATGATCTAAAAATAAGAATCGACAATGAATACCGGTTAATAAATTATTAAACATAACAAAAATATTTCACGTTCTTAAATGTTCAAAAACTGAACTCTCACTTGGATATGCACAGTCGTAGGAAGTCATTTCTCATTATGGGTGTAATTCCTATTCTCCATAATTTGTCAATTTTCTCTCAACTATTGAAATGTATTATTTAATTGTATTTCTCAAGAAATTTGATGTGGAATAGCTTCAGCGTTTCGAGCATTGTTTCGATTTTCTTCTTTTGCGGCAGTATTGTAGTGCGGAAATGATTTGTACCAGGTATCTGGCCGAAGCACGAGCCTGGGATCACTAAAATCCCAGTGTTCTCCAATAGCTCGAACGCGTAGAAGGCGTCTGGTTCCTGGCCTTTCGCTCGCGCCGTCTCAATGCTTTTGACGGCAGTTCGAAGCGTGGAAACGCGTACATCGCACCCATCGCCGGATTCGCCTGAAAAGGTAAAGCAAAGACAATGTAAAAACTGTGTCCAGCGCAGTTTCCCTTGGCTATCATATAAAAGGACAGATACTTTATATCCAGGAATACTTGAGTGTGTCGACAACGAGCTGTGATCTCTCTGCTAGAGAGCGTAGAATTTCCGTCTTCTCTTTCTGGAATTGCTCATAAGATGGCTCATTCGGTCGCGGCGGATTCACCACAATATCCGTCACGACCTGACCGAGCACGGTAGGACACAGCATCGCAGAGATCGACTTCAATAGCATTTTCATTATTTCTGGGTCCATGTTGATAATTTCGGCGTAACCGCCACGGATCCCGCACTCACCCACATATCCTGAAAACGAAATACCTCAGCACGGAACCCTTCTGAAATTTCCCTAGAAATCTATTCATGAATTTAATTTGGTAATCGAAATTCAATAATTTTTCAAATCAAATATTCCTGTTTAATGTTTCAACTAAATCAATAAATTATTGCAAACATAATTTAAGAATTCAATGTCCCTTGATTAAATTATCTTGAAAGTCTAAGTAAATCAATAAATTATTGCAAACTTAATTTAAGAATTCAATGTCCCTTGATTAAATTATTTTGAAAGTCCAATATTTAACATGAATTGTTTTTAGCGATTTCTATCGTTAGATGTTTCGATTCCCAAATTCTTTGTTCACGCACCTTTCGAAATGGACATAAATGATGCCAGTTCAATTTTCAAATATGGCTCGCCCATCTCTGTCATGACTTTCTTGAAGGAATGGAATGCGCTGTCTTTGTCGTATATGTTGTCCTGATAAACCTCGTCGGCCAGCAAGAACAGGTGATGTTTATAGGCGAAGCGGATGACATTTTCGATGTTCTTGCGAGTCAATACTTGGCCGGTTGGATTACCGGGATTGATCACCACCAACACGTGAGGATTACACGTATCCTTGACTTCTCTTAATGCTAGTTCCAGCTCGCTGATTTCTAGCGACCACTTGTTATCCTCATCCAGATAGTACCCGATTTGAGCGAGTCCAAACTCCGTCAGGGTCGCCGAGTATAGAGGATATTGCGGAAATGGGATCAGCACGCCGGATGGTTTGTCGTCGAGCCTTTCGTTGAATAGATTCAGGAATGACTGGAAAAGAAAATCATACAAATTAAGATGAAAGAAAATATAGTAGAGCATTAACAGCTGTTATCCTATCAGTCTGTCTACAACATCAAAGTTTAAAATGTCAATTTTAATTTTGTATATAACGTGCATTGTATATGTAAAAATGATTGATTTAATATATAAATATACAATATTCGTATAAAATAACTATTCATATACATTATTATGATAGAAAAAATAAACTAGAACAATAACATTGAAAAAATTTTCAATTTTATCAATATTATTTACTCAAAATTACTTTCCATTTTGTAAAATCTGCTATTTTATTCTTACATGTCAGAACATTATTTAATATGAATTTCAATTGGTTACAACTTCTTTTTTTATATTCATCTGACAAGGTAAAATAATTTTCTGTTACTTTTATATTCATCTGACATTGTAAAATAATTTTTTTTTACATTTTTTGAAGTTTGTTGTACATATTACATAATTTTCCTAGATATCTTCGTAATTGCAAGTTAAACTTGAATTTCATTGGACTATTTACACTTTTTACTTGGAACGACATGATTATTCTCACAACGTCAAGAATTTTTATTATTAGTTTATTCTTTTCTTTGAGTTTTTACATAAAAGCAACCGTTATTTAATACATTGTATTATTTACTTATTATTATGAAAGGCTATAATTAATTTTTTATGTTTATATTATGCTAGCGACATTATGACATGTTATATTTATTTTTATTATGTAATTTGAAGGATTTTACTAATGTTACCGGATTGCTAAGTTAATTGTTGTTTTTGCATTGAAAATGACCCGATCGGAGTCGAAACGTCTGTAATGTTATTATTTTAATTAAAATTGTTTGTTATAATATTGGTTCTATGCCCTGTTAATATTTATATTGTTTAATATAATTAACATAAGAATATAAATTATACTAAATAATATTCTACACAAACGTTTCGACTTACAAAGCCTTCTTCATTGTTAAAACGCAGAAATACAATATTATATTAACAAATCGAATAAATAACAAATACAATGAAATTTAATAATAAATTCTCAGTGGTGAAGGGTTAATATATAATGAATTCTTTATATATTAAATGTGTAAGAAATATCTATTAAAAATAATATTCTGTTAGCGATATGTTCAAAATAATCTCATAATGAGTATATGCATATACTCATATTGAGATATGCACGAGATGATCAGGACAAATTTCGTATATTATTAATGTTGCGTATATCTATGAGAAATTCTGTATAAACTTAGTATATACGGAAAATATCATGTGCTATCTAGGATATAACTACCCAGTAAACGCAAAGTTACATGCAACATATGTAGGTACTTGTTAGTCGTAATTTTCCTCTCAACAGTATAACTGTAATATAACACTTGTATTATATTGTAGTTAATTATATTATTAATGCCCAATTTCTTCACCTTTAGATAACTTTATCCAAGAGATACCTCTCAGAGTACAATGGAGATATCTCCTGAATAAGGTTATCTGCAACTTATTTGGAAGTGAAGAAATTGAGCCTAAGTGAAAAATGAACAGTACGTTATATGTAAAGTTGTAACATGTAACTTTGTGTTTACTGGGTAGATTACTTGCAAACGATTTTCCAAATAACAAGAAGAAGATCTCGAAGTCCACATACTTTGATACCGATAGAAGCGCCGTTCCAGAGAATAATGTTGTGGTAATCGCAAGGGATACCGCCATCGCGTTCCTGAATGTACTGTGCAACATGCTTGCGAATACATTCGATGCCGGCCGACTCCGAGTACGAGCCCACACTGCCGCCATTGCAATTTTTCAGGATCATCCGGGCGCGATCCTTTGCATCCTGCGGGTAACTCGGATCGTTGAGCAGATTCGGCGAAACTGTCAGGGTGAGCACTTGCCGCAGGAACGTGATAGGCTGCTGACCCATCGCGTGAGCGTCGCCAGTGTTCATTTTGGTCAACTCCTTGAAGGGTTTTTCAAAGCCCTTGCAAAGAGAAACGATTTTAGGTACAATCACGATCTTCGTGTTTAATTTTGAAACTTTTCCAAACTTTGTGGAGACTATAAGCTACAGGAGTAGAATACAGGAGTCTAATTTACATCTAATGGATACATTCTAGTGGAAACAATCTATATTTGTTGATTCATTGAAATCATTGTTTCATATTTAATCTTAATTATTAAATCTATATTTGTACCGAAGGAATTGAATCGAGGGTTTAAGAGGAAACACACACACCACACACACACACACACACACACACACACACACACACACACACACACACACACACACACACACACACGAGAGA